AATATGTTAAAGCAACTTATCAGAAGAATAATACACCATGACCAGGTAGGATTTATACCAGGAATGCAGGGCTGTTTGAATATTAGGAAAACTATCAGCACAATTGATCATATCAACACCAAAACTAAAAGAAAACACAAGATCATCTCAAAAGATGTAGAAAAATCTTTTCACAAAATACAACACCCATTCCTATTAAAAACACTAGAAAGCATGGGAATGAATACTCTTTCTTAAAATAATAAATAGCATCTACCTAAAACCTTCAGCAAGCATCATATGTAATGAGGACAAGCTGGAAACATTTCCAATGAGATTGGGGGTTAAATGAGAAGGTCCATGTTGTTCAATATCGTACTGGAAATGTTAGCTTTAGCAACAAGAGAAGAAAAAAATGGAAAGTTTTAGAATACACAAAGAAGAAACAAAACTCTCACTTTTTGCAGATGACACGATGATATGCTTACAAAATCCTAGAGAATCAAGTAAAAAACTACTTGAAATAATAAACAACTTTAGCAAAGTTGCAGGCAATAAAACAAACCCACATTAATCATCAGCATTTCTATATATTACCAACAAAGCCCAATAGCAAGAGATAGAAAGAGAAATTCCATTTAAACTTATTGTAGACATTGTAAAATATTTAGGAGTCTACTTACAGAAAGAAACCCAGAAACGATATGAGCAAAATTGCAAAACACGTTTCACACAAATGAAGTCAGATCTAAATATTTGGAAAAAACATCAGTTGCTTATGGATAGGCCAAGCTAATATAACAAAAATGACAATTCTTCCTAACCAAATTACTTATTCAATGGCATACCAATCAAACTACCTAAATTATTTTATACAGCTAGAAAAAATAATAACAAAATTCATTTGGGAAAAAAAAGGTCCAGAATATCAAGGCAACTAATGAAGGGAAATGCAGGGGAAGGTGGCCTAGCCATTCCAAGTCTTAAATTATATTATAAAGCAGCAATCATCAAAACTGCTTGTTACTGGCTAAGAAACAGAATGGTGGATCAGTGGAATAGGTTAAGTATGCAAGACATAGTAGTCAATGACTATAGTAATGCATTATTTGATAAACCCAAGGACCCCAGCTTCTGGGATAAGAACCCACTTTTTCCACAAAAACTTCTGGGAAAACTGGAAAAGAGTGTGGCAGAATCTAGGCATAGATCAAAATCTCACACCATATACCAAAATAAAGTCAAAATGGGCTCATGATTTAGATATAAAGGCGGATACTGAAAGCAAACTGGGAGAGCAAGGAATAGTTTACCTATCAGATTTATGGAGAACAAAAGAATTCATGACCAAACAGGAGAAATAGAACATTACAAAAAGCAAAATGGATAACTTTGATTACATTAAATTGAAAAGGTTTTGCACAAACAAAGCCAATGAAGCCAAGAGAAGTAGGAAAGTAGAAAACTGGGAAAGAATTTTTACAAGCAGTCTCTCTGATAAGGGCCTCATTTGTAAAATATATAGAGAATTGAGTCAAATTTACAAGAATACAGGTCATTCCCCAATTGATAAATGGTCAAAGGATATGAACAGGCAGTTCTCAGATGAAGAAATTAGAGCCATTTAATATAGTCATATGAAAAAATACTCTAAATCACTATTGATTAGAGAAATGCAAATCAAAACAACTCTGAGGTACCACACCACACCTATCAGATTGGCCAACATGACAAAACAAGAAAATGATAAGTATTGGAGAAGATGTGGGAAAATTGGAACACTAATGCATTTTTGGTGGAATTGTGGAATGATCTAATCATTTTGGAGGGCAATTTGGAACTATGTCCAAAGGGCTATCAAAATGTGCATACCCTTTGACTTTGAAATAGCACTTCTAGGGCTATATCCCAGAGGATCATACAAATGGGAAAAGGACCCACATGTTAAAAAAAAATTATAACAGTTCTTTTTGTGGTGGCAAAGAATTGGAAATTGAGAGATGCCCATCAATTGGGGAATGGATGAACAAGTTGTGGTATATGAATGTAATGGAATTTGATTGCGCCATAGGAAATGATTAACAAGCTGACTTCAGAAAAACCAAGAAAGACTTGTATCATCTGATGCTGAGAGAAGTGAGCAGAAACAAGAGAACCTTGTACACAATAACGGCCACATTGTGTGATGACTAATGTTGATGCACTTAACCCTTCCCAGCAATACAAGGATCTAAGACATCTCCAAAGGCCTCGTGATGGAAATTGCAATCCATATTCAAAGAAAGAACTATGGAGTTTGAATGCAGATCAAAGCATAGTATTTGCTGTTTTTTTCTCCGTTGAGTTTTGTTTCTTCTTTCTGGTGGTTCCTCTATATTAGTTCTAATTCTTATTTACAGCATCGCTAATGTGAAAATATGTTTAATAGGAATGTATATGTATAACCTACGTTAGATTGTGCACTGTTTGGGGGAGCATGGTGGGGAGGGAGTGGGAGAAAAATTTTAAACTCAAAAGTAATTGTTGATAATTCAAAATAAATGAATTAAAAAAAAAAAAAGAAAAAACAACTCATCTGGAAAATAGATCCAGGAGAGAGAATTTAAAAATTATTGGACTATCTGAAAGCCATGTTCCAAAAAAAAGAGCCTAGTTATCATCTTTCAAGAAATTATCAAGGAAAACTGCCCCAGTATTTTAGAACCAGAGCACAAAATACAAATGGAAAGAATTCACTGATCACCTCCTGAAAGAGATCCCCAAAGGAAAACTCCTAGGAATATTGTAGCCAAATTCTAGAGTTCCCCAGTCAAGGAGAAAATATTGCAAGCAGCCAGAAAGAAACAATTAAAATATTGTGTAAATGCAATCAGGATAACTCAATGTTTAATAGCTTCTACATTAAGGGTCTGAGGGTATGGAATATAATATTCTGGAGGGCAAAGGAGATAGGATTATAACCAAAAATCACCTACCCAGCAAAATGAAATATAATCCTTCAGGGGAAAAAAATGGTCCTTCAGTGAAATAGGGAAGTTTCAAGCATTCTTGATGGAAAAACCAGAGTTGACAAGAAAATTTGATTTTCAAATACAAGACTCAAGTGAAATATGAAGAGGTAAACAGGAAAGAGAAACCTCAAGAGACTTATTATGGTCGAACTCTTTACATTCCTGCATGGAAAGATGATATTTGTAACTCATGAGACCTTTCTCAGTATTAGGGTAGTTGGAGGGGAAATATTTTATATTTATACATACATACATACATACATACATATATGTATATATATGTATATAATGTTATATAATATATATGTATGTCTATGTGTGTGTATGTATGTATGTATGTATGTATATACATTATATAGATTGAGGGCACAGGGTGAATTGAAGATGAAGAGCTGATATCCGGAGAATAAAATTAAAGGGTGAGAGAGGATTATACTTGGAGAAGAAGAAAGGGAGAGGTAGCATGGGGGTTAATTGTCTCACATAAAACAGATAAGAAAAGGCTTTTACAGTTGAAGGGAAACAGGGGAAGGTGAGAGGGAATGAGTGAATGTTTTTTTCATAAGATTTGGCTTAAGGAGGATATAACATACACATTCAATTTGTTGTGGAAATCTATCTTACCCTACAGGAAAATAGTGGGGGGAAGAGGACAAGAGAGCAGGAGGATGATAGAGGGAAGGGGATAATCAGAAGCAAATACTTCTAGGGAAGGACAGGGTCAAAAGAAAGAATAGAATAAATGGGGGGGGCGGTATAGGATGAAGGGAAATATACTTAGCTTTTCACAACATCACCAGAATGGAAGTGTTTTGCATGACTACACATGTACAATCTGTATCAAGTTGCTTGCCCTTTCAGTGAGGATGGGTGGGGAGGGAGGAAGGGAGAAAATATGGAACCCAAAGTTTTACAAAAAAAATGTTTAAATTGTTTTCACATGCAAATGGGAAATAAGAAATTCGGGAAATGAGGTATAGAAATCTATCCTGTCCTACAGGAAAATAGAAGGTGAAGGGGATAAGAGAAGGAGGGGAGAGATAGAAGGGAGGGCAGATTAGTGGAAGGGGTGTTCAGAATGCATGCCATCTAGGAGTGGAGGGTGGGATGAGATGGGGAGAAAATTTGGAACTCAAAATTCATGGAAGTGAATGCTGAAAACTAAATATAAATAAATTTTAAAAAGTAAAAAAAGAAGAATTTGAATGAAAAAAAGAATTTGGATGCTAAACCACTTGGTGCATATATTTTTAGTATTGATATTACTTCATTGTCTATGGTACCTTTTAATAAGATGTAGTTTCCTTCCTTATCTCTTTTAATTGGGTCTATTTTTGCTTTGGTTTATGTGAGATCAGGATTGCTACCTCTCCTTTTTTTTCCTTCAGGTGAAGAATAAGATATTCTACTCCAGCCTCTCATCATTACTCTGTGTGTATCTCTTTGTTTATGTGTATTTCTTATAAATATCATATTGTAGGATTCTGGGTTTTGATCCACTCTTTATCTGCTTCTATTGTATAGGAAAGCTTATCCCATTCACATTAACAGTTATAATTTGTGTGTGTTTCCCTCCATGCTATTTTCCCTCCTGTTTTTCCTCCATTTTTTTTCTCTGTTTCCCTCCTTGAAAGTGTTTTGTTTCTATCTACCACCTACCCAAATCAGCCTTTTATTCTGCTAGTCCCCCCACCTTTACTTAATTTCCTCCCATCCTACCACAGGTTTTAACAAAAGACCTCAGAATTTTTAAAAAAGTCAGAGTTATTTAGAAGAAGTACAGGAATTGGTGAAGGGAAGATTAAATGGCTTTTTGAGGTAACTTCAATATCTGTAACATGTGATTGTTTACTGGCTTTGTTATTCTTCTGTTGTCCATTTCCTAGGAAAAAGGAGAAAAAGAGTACAGAGTCCTGAGAAGAGCTAAATTTAAAAAAAAATATATGAAAAAAGAGAATGACAACTTTTGGAAGCTCCAAATTCAGAGGCTATTTTTTGTTTTGTTGATAGTTAAGCCTGGGACATGGGCACATATTCTTTCCCAAATAATTAAGAAATTCCTTACCTTGCCTTCATCTCCACCACTTCCTGAAGTGCAGCAATCCTGTCAATAGTGGCGGTGATGGGTCATGTGGAGATAAAGCCAGGATGGCTGCTGAGACATATGATATCCTGAATTTTAAGTTCTTCCCTGATCAGACTGAGACACTGGTGAAAGTGGGTGAAGTGACCCCTCACAGTCAGGGATTCAGCATTAATGAAGCAGATATTGAATGGCCTGAAGATTTCTCTCAGGTAAGGAACCAGTGAATAATATGAGCTCTGTGAATTAGCGTAAGAGAGGCCTGAACATTGTTGTTTCTTCATTGGCCCTGTGAAATTCTCCAACAACATTGGATATGACTGTAACAGCATGGTAGCATTCAATTACTCTTCTCTTTTGCTCTGAGTTAGACAGAACTTTAATTTATCTGATTTTCTTCTCTCAGTAATACCTTCATTTCTTTCTGGCTAAGTAACATAATGATCTCAATTTTCCATACAGCAAAAGTTTTGAAATGTATCAGATCAAGTGAGGAAGTTTAAAAAAAAAACAATATAGTGGAAAGTGGAGAATTTTTCCCCTCAAAGAGACCTATTGTACCAAAAGCTTCTCAATATCTGGAATCCTGCAACTACATACCTATTTTATCCTGAGTTTACGTTCATGACAAGAATCATCAGTAATTTTAGAAATGTTTAATTTAAATGTATTGGGTATGTCCTCTGTCAATGTCAAGAGTATGTATCTTCACAATTTCATTTACCTGTGTGTTTTTATAAATCCCACCCCCACTCCCTGCAGTAGTCCCCAGTGGAAGCTCCATATGTCAATCTAAAAATGAGGTCAGCATCAATTCATCTGATTCTTAATTAGATCCAATCAAGCTGAACTGTTCATTATAGTGTAAAGTTTGCATTCTAAACTCTCTAAATTCATGAATCCCTGAAAAATTCAGAATGCTTTAGTAAAACACAAAGAATAGGGTTTGTTTTGGGGAAAAGATAAGGAACTATTTCCTCTCAAGAGGTCACTGAATCATTTCAGGATTACCTGTAGAAAAAAAAGAAGTGCATTTTAGAGATATACTGCTATCAGGTACTTGAAGAGAAATGTGTAAGTAATAGATTAGTGTTAAAAAAAATCAAGGAGATTGTGCCTATTAAAAAATCTGTTCAGTTCATCCCTCAGGGGACAGATTATCTGGCACAGAAGAGGGAAATATAGGAAGAAATTCTCTATTGAGAAATTTCTCATCCTTGCTCTGCAGAGTTACAAATATTTTATTCTAATTGCCTTCCAAAGGAGAGGTTGGCAATCATTATCACCTCATTGCATCTATCTTCTAGCAATCATTCTTAATGTGATGTTTTCTCCCTTTCTCTGGTGGTAACCCAGACTCCAGCTTCCATGTGCAGTCTGAGCTGTGGCCCTGGATTCAAGAAGACAGTCCGTGAAGGCCAGCCCATCTGCTGCTTTGATTGCATCCTATGCCCTGAAGGGCAGATTTCCAACCAGACAGGTGGCTTTTTAAAGATAAAAGATAAATTCCTGAAGTAATAAACATAGTATTTTTTAAATCTTAACCTGAAGCAACTTTTACTTACCAAAATAATATTTTTTTAAGTTTCAATTATACTGAACTTAATCAACTTTATTCAATGTCCATGTACTCTACTCTTCGTAGGTAATATCAAAATATTATACACCGAAAGAGGGCATACTGAAAGCCTTAGTTTTAGCCCAGAAGAAATTACCTTCTTTCTGGTGGGGGTAAAGGTTCCTATTCAATAAATTGCTACAGCTTTTTAGTGGAACCCCCTCTCCATTTCCTGGATGCATCTTCTCTTTTCCTCTCTAATGAGATAAGAGACTTTGTTCAGTTCTTCACTTGGACTTTTGCACTAGTCTCCCATTTGTCTCTCTGCCTCCAGTCTCTGTCCTACCTTTTCATAGTACACAAAACCACCAAACTGAAATTCTACAAGCACAAGTTTTATCAATTTCCTGCTCAATGAATTCCAGTGGTTCCCTATTACTTTTAAAATGAAACATCACCTCTTATCATGACCAGTCCAGTTTTACACAAGATTCCGCTTAACATACTCTCAGATCCACTCATACTGCACTGTGTAACATCCTATTTTGAGCCAGATAAAAGATGAAATGACTGAGAAAAACAAAGGTTCAAACTTCTGATCACAGTGAAATATTAAGGAATGCATGATGCCAATTACATAACAAATTGGGACCAGGCCTTTGCAGCTTTGACACTGGACCCCCAAAACAGGGGGAGACAAATTTTTATATGTTAAAAAATTAATCAGAAAAAATAATTAATTAAAAGAAAGCAGTTAACCTGTTTAGTTACAGGCTACACAATTTGGTAATCTGATTTCCAATTTGTGGAAAGATTAGGGACTTTCCAAGTTGGGAGATGGAAGGCAAACAGGTATAATTCCCTGGAATCAGAAAAAGTGGTGGCCCACTCCCCCCAGATGCCTGTAAACTATCAAGGGAATGTGGAAACAATAACTTCATGACCTGTGTGGGGCCAGTTTTCAGATAAAACAAACGGATTGCTTGAGGTGGAAAATTGTGAGACAATTCCTTGTATAAACCTATGTATCTGACCAGGTTTCTTGTCAGCAGAGAGTCGGTCTGTCATCAAGGGTCTCTAAAAGCAGGCAGAAGTGGTACCACTTCCCAGACGTGCAGGCCTACGCTCAAACAATGCAATCAGCTTTTCTCATGGTTTCCATACTTGAATAACGTCTTTTCACTAGAGAAATTGACCAGACCCATAATTGAATAGAAAGGAAACTGAGCTAGCTCCAGAACTGAGTCACAAGGTAGAGTCAATGTGGTTCACTCAACCTGGCATAACCTCTTGCTGCTTGAAATACCTCAATTCCCTTTTTGATTTAGGGACTAGAGGCCAGCCCATTCCCTCCGTGGAGAATTTATCTGAGCCCAATCCATAAGTTTTTTTTTTCATATATTCATAATCAGAATCATGTGATTCAGGCTACAGATAAAAGTACTTAGGTGGCTCACAATGGACATATGTGTGTGTATATGTGTATGTATATGCGTGTATATATGTATATATATATATATATATATGTATGTATGTATGTATGTATGTTAAGTGGGAATAACCAGGAGTGAAGGTAATATGCTCTGAGCTTAAGTAATTTTTTCTATAATTTTTCTTTCTTTTTTTTTGAAATTTTGAAATTTATTTTAAACTTAAATAGAAAATGAGAAAAAAATCAAACAGCAGAACATGAGAGGATTCAATATAAAATAAATATAATATGTTATATTTATAATATATGATTATAATATATGAAATAAAAAACATGAATTTCAAAGATGTACAGCTTTTCTTTGCTTCCTTGCAGCTACCCTTTTGTCCTCTGCTGTCCACTTTTTTATTTAATTTTCCTCCTCACTTCCCCCCACCCTAAAGAAGGATACAATTAAGCTGATATATATGTGTGTGTCTGTGTGTGTGTCTGTGTGTGTATACATACACACAGATATCTATAAACATGCACATATATACTCATACACGTATATGATCATAGCAGGCACATTTCCATTTGTCATGCTTTGCTGTGAAGGTAGAGAGCATCTTCCTATGTAAGTCCAGGTGTTTCCATGTTCTTCTCAATCAAACAGCTCATCATGTCCTATACCACAGCAATATTTCAGCCTAGTTACATCCTATCTGAAAGATTGGTTATGAAAGATTGTTTTTTCCCCAGTTGCTCAGAGTTGGTGTGGAGGGGTTTACACTTCACTCAGGCTGAACCTCTGCCTCCCAGATGTCTGGTCTTTCCTGGGCTCTTCTTAAGTTGTCTTAGGATAACAATGGCTCTACCCTGACTTTTGTTTACTGTTGCTGCTCAACAATCCCTCTGAGATGATGTTCTATCTTTTTATTTTGTGGAACAAATTTGTGGAACCAAAAGTTTTCAGAACTACTCAGATGTCTTCCACAATGGACTAATTTTGAGGGAACAGATTTATGTCACCAAGGTAACCAAGAAAACTTTTCCAACATAAATACTGTGAAACAAAAGGCAAAAGTAATATAATGATGACCATTAATATTATATAGCATCAAGTCTCCTTTTATCCTAGTAACCTATTCTCAATATGCATTTAGTTAGATCATCTTAAGTCTCAATCATCCCACATAATCCTGTGGTCACTGGACAGAGTTTCTCCTGGAAATTCTGGAATTAGCAACATTCCCACAGTGGCTCAGAAGGGGGCTTTGTTTTCTGGTTCCAAATAATTTGGGTTTTTTTGTATATAAATGATTCATCTATTTTATCACCTAATATAATTTTATTTTTTCCGCTTACATGTAAAATAGTTTTAAAAATCATTTATATAAAATTTTTGTCTAACAGTACTTTTGATTTCCCAAATTTCACAATATGAGTGCTTAGAAATATAATAATAACATATGTAATATCATGTATTGAGAATGGGAAACAAGACCAATTAGTGGTCAAGTGATATCAATTCATCCAAATGCATTTTCAAATTATCCTACATAAAAAAATCATTAATCTTATTGTTGTTTCTGTTGTTATTTCCATTCATGTCTGACTCTTTATGACCCATTTTGGGTTTTCTTGGCAAAGACACTGGGATGGTTTGCCATTTTCTTCTCTAGCTCACTTTACACATGAGGAAGTGAATGAGAGTTAAGTGACTTGTCCAGGGTCACACAGACAGTAAGTCTCAGAGGCCAGATTTGAACCCATGAAAATGACTGACTCCAGCCTCAGCATTCTATTCACTACACTGCCTAGCTAGCCAATCTTTTCATTGCCTCTGGCATGTTATGCAAATTGCATCAAAAATCTGTAATGTAATTACATTCAATTAAAGAAGTAATAATAGTAATAAACATTTATATAGTGCCTACCTATAATCTTTGTGTTGATTCAATTATGAGGAGCTCTTTAAAGAAATAAATAACAGATTAAACAACTGGAGAAATATCCTATGCTCCTGGCTTTCCTGTTATAATGTAATAAAAATAAAACAATCCAGGGTTTCCATATGCCATTCACTGTGTTAAGCACTTCACAATCATATCATTTTGATCCTCACAAATATCCTGGGAGATGTGTGCCATTATTATTTTCCTCTTCATAGATCAGGAAACTAAGGCAAAGAGAGATAACTTGCTTAAGATCACATGGCTAATACATTTCTGAAATCTAAATGTAACAGCTTTCCCTGATTTTTTCCAGCATATGTTAGAGTCCTGACTTAACATAGCTTGGCTTGCCAAAACTGAATAAAAATCTTTCTCCCCTGTATTTGCTGTCCAAGATCAAAGGTAAGGAGACTTGGTCCTGATTCATTATGTAACTGGTATGCACCGCTTCATAAACTGCCATGATCGGAAGCTTGAAACTTTACTTCCGCAGACAGTTCTTCTTTCATCTACTACCAGGTTTCACCTCCATTTACTAGCTCTCCCCCACTCCTGTACTGTAATCACTCCTTACCTTTGCCTCTTGGAAATCCTGGATTATTTTCATTTTTATTATATTGTAACAGGAAAGCCATGAGCACAGAATGTTTCTCCAGTTATTTAATCTGTTATTTATTTTTAAAGACCTCTTCATAGTTGAGTCAACACAAAAATTATGAATACTTTGATAGATGGTTTCATATTTTATGTACTTGGTAGGTATTGGGAACAGAATTTCCTCTTCTCTTGTATTCTCTTGTATTTTTCCTTAAATAAAAATACAGATTTTGAAAGTTTATCTTACCTAGCCTACTTTGATGATTCTATTTTCTTTCTCAGTATCTTTGCTGTGTTATCTAAGTAAATCATCATATCATTCAAAAATAAAGCCAGTTTTACCTAATCTTTACCTATCTTTACATTTTAATTTCTTTCTCCCACTTTAATGCTCTTAATGCCATTTCTGGAACAATAACAATTAATAAGAAGTAGAATTGTCATTCTCACCTCATGTCTGTACTTATTTGGAAAGATTCTAGTACATGTCTTTGCAAGCAATATTTGTTTGGTTTTTTATAATGTATTCTTGTGATAATATAAAAGTTCTTTAAATTTGTGTTGTAGGATTTTCAGCATAAATGTTCATTTTATTTTGTCAAAGTGTTTTTCTGCATGTTATTAGATTTTTTTTTAAATTTTGGATATTTTTGCTATAAAAATGTGCATACCCTCTGACCCAGCCATAGCACTTCTAGGGCTATATCCCAAAGACAAGAGTGGAAAACATGAAGGAGACAGGTTTCAAATCTTCATTAAACTGTAGAAACTAGAGAACCATTGTCATATGTGCAAGATATTGTTTCCAATTTAAAAAAAAATTAATTTTATGGGAGTTACATTAATTGAACAATGTTTGTTTTCCATAGGCAGAAACAGGTACCGTAAAGACCCCAGAAGGCTCATACTTATAATATTGATTTAAAATAAACACATTAAAAGTCTTTTTCATGTAATTCATCATTATGTGGACTTGATCTAAGAAAAAAAATGACAAGAGATTGTCTCATTTCTATTGTGAAAATGTAGGATTATGCAAAAGTAATCCCTTAGGGCTCATTATAGGTGGTTCAATATTGGAATGGGGTTATAGGCAATTTAATTTTTTGTTTAGTAAACAAATGATAAGGAAGAATTACTTTTGCTGCATTATTTTCTTCATATGCAGAAATATGTGTTTATCTTATTAAACTTATATCTTGTTCTAACTACAAAGAAGTAAAAAATGAGGCTGACTGAGTTCTACATAGAATGACTAAGACTTTGCTTTATTAGAGATATAAAACTCTGATTTCATATGGGCCATAGTAAGATTCTTTTTTTGTTTGTTTGCTTGTTTGCAGATGCACAGCAATGTCTGCAGTGCCCTGAAGATCACTACTCAAGCAAGGAGAGGGACAGGTGTCTTGACAAGGCCATGACCTTCCTGGCCTGTGAAGAACCTCTTGGAATGACTCTGGCCTGTGCAGCTCTCTGCTTCTTCTTCCTCACCACTCTGGTCCTTGGAGTCTTTATAAAGCACAGATACACCCCCATAGTCAAAGCCAATAACCGCAGTCTTAGCTACACACTTCTGGTCTCTCTCATCCTCTGTTTCCTCTGCTCTTTTCTCTTCCTTGGCCTTCCTAACACCACCACTTGTCTCTTGTGACAAACCACATTTGCAGTTGTGTTTACAGTGGCCATTGCCTCCATTTTAGCTAAAACCATCACTGTGGTTCTGGCCTTCAAGGCCACAAAGCCAGGCAGCAAGCTCAGGAGGTGGCTGGGCTCCACAGCATCTTATTCTCTCATTGTTATCTGTACTCTAATCCAAATGTGTCTCTGTGGCATCTGGCTTGGGACCTATCCCCCATTCCTGGAGATGGACATACACTCTGAACCTGGCTTCATTGTCATTCAATGTAATGAAGGTTCCATTCTTACCTTCCATTGTGTCCTGGGCTATGTGGCCTTGCTGGCCTTAGGGAGCTTCACCATGGCTTTCCTGGCCAGGAATCTGCCAGATACTTTCAATGAAGCCAAGTTCCTGACATTCAGCATGCTTGTGTTCTGCAGTGTCTGGATAGCCTTCCTGCCCACATATCAGAGCACCAAAGGCAAGGCCATGGTGGCCGTGGAAGTGTTTTCCATCTTGGCCTCCAGTGCTGGAATTCTCACTTGCATCTTTGCTCCCAAGTGCTATGTGATCCTTCTGAGGTCAGACACAAATACCCTGGAGATACTGAAAAACAAAGCCAATCCATCAGGAGTAATGTGTTCTCAATCTCTTCCTCACAAATCACACTGAAGTTCTTCCTGAGCTCTTATAGTCTTCACAAAATATCCCAAATGCATCTAGCTTATATACCTTCTACTTTTTATCATCATCTCTTTCTTTTTTCATTTGGTTCTGGCAACATTTCGAAGGAAAGCATATTACTTGATTTCTGAAAAAAGAGTATTATATCAGTTGTATTGAAATAATTTATCTGTCACAGACACTTAATATATGAATGATAATTTCAAACAATAGTAGAAAAAGCCAATGGAGTAAAGATAGGATTGCCTAGTTTCCAATTCTAACCCTGTATAAGTTCATCCAGCATGATAAGTCATTGATTTCTTATTTACAAAGTTAGAATTATAATATTTCCTCAATTTGTTTATCTGTGTTTTATCTGTCATTGCATTTATCAAATGATATTGGATGAATTTAACATACGCATGAGAGAAGTTTTGTTGGGAAATGTTCAAGACCCAGTCTATTTGCTTAGTAAGTTGATTTATCACTAATGATCACGTGTAGAATTTAGTATACCTTCCATTCCTTTCCACCAATTGTGTAACTCTAGAGTTACGTTCTATTGTAGAAAACTTTTGCCAAAGCCCCATTGTTCCCTTATAATTTTCGTTGCTTATGTCTGTCCCTCAGTCTTGACATGGACTAATGATATCATGAGAGTGATTCCTTTACTTGTGGGTGAATTGGCTTTAAGTGAGGAAGAGCTACACAAAGTCGTCAGCCTCACTCTGTCTTCCAGAGTCATTGAAAGCCATTGGTGAGACATAAGTCAAGATAACTGGTGATTCTCTAGGATGCAGTGAGTAAACTTGGCCTTTCTAAATTAAAGTCTTTCCCAGGCCTGAGTACCTAAGAAGATGGGAGTTTGATGCTCAGGCCACTAGATAGTTTAGGAAACATATCAGGCATCAGGCCCAATGATAGTCATCTTGACCTGTGTCTTTCCACTGACCTCAATGAACCTGGAGGAGAAAATGAGGCTGACTTTGCGTAGCCTGGCGTCACTTAAATCCAATTCACTCACAAGTCAAGACATCCCCCTTGTGATGTGATTGGGCCTCTACTAGCAGGGTAGGATGAACAACAACGAGAAGAGTGATCAGAAAGGTGCCGCAAGCAACCCTAGCCTATAGGTAGATGCATCTGCCAGAGGATTAGTGGTCAGTGATAAGGGAAAGCCCTGTAGACTAAGGTGGAAAGCCTGCCTCCCGAGGAGGGCTGTACCCTCAAGAATTGTGATCCATCCTGACAAAGATATTTATGGTAGATATGGATCATGGGAGCCTGGAAGAGAACTGTACGTAAGGGGAACTTTATGAGAACTCTGCAAAGGTAAAAAATAAAATAAAATTATATTAAAATAAAAAAAAACAGTTTTTACATCCAGCTTTCACAAGGTACAGTCTGGTCACGTGTTCTTTGGGAGTATGACTGCTGGAGTGCTCAAGAGAGGAGATGACCCCAGTTTGGGGGAATGTTTTATATCCACTATTATTGTTCTACCTTCTCAATAAATATCCTATCTAGAAACCAATTGTTTAAGTGGTTGATTGATACTAGAGGATTAATGGGGATCATAATAGCCCCCACTTCTTAAACTTGTGAGGATCAAAGGAGATCTCTGTGAAGTGGTTAGCAAAATTCTCAGCACATAATAGACACAATTTACATGTTGTTATGATTATTCTAGTTATTATTATTAATGATAGATTGAGTGACTTGCTCGGTGGCACATAACCAGGACATGTCAAGAAAGGTCTTAAATCCAGGCTTTCAAAACTTCATAGGATTATTGCATAGGACTTCCTCTGGCACTCCCACAGGCATGTTACCTTAGGGCTTCGAAGGTATGAGTACTATTCCTCCTCTTTGCATTCTAGGAGTAACCTTGAAGAGTTTGGGCTTCTGACACTATCTCTCACAAGCCACTCCCTCCTAATATTTTGAGAAAATATTTCCTAGGTATATCAGGAGATGATTTTCATAAGACATGATAAAAATGGGAAAGTAGTCATGCATCAATAGTTTTTCATTGTTTTTTCATCACTCTTTAAAACATATTTTCCTGAATTTAATATCTTGGAATATGTCATATTGCTTATTTTATTTCTTTTGTAAATATATATATGTATATATATATATTTGTTTAAAATATTTATTTTTAATCTTTGTGTTCCAAATGTTTTACCTCCTAAAGCTTCTTGCCTACTTATTGAGAAGGCAAATAATATAATAATTATTACATATGTGAAGTCATGTAAACTGTTTTTATAATAATCATGTGGCAAATCAAGAAAAATTTAAAAAATAATGTGATCACTCCATTCTTGGAGTTCTTCAGCTCTCTCTCTGAATTTAGATAACATTTATCATCATGAGTTCTTAGCAATTTTGTCTGATCATTGCATTGGTTAGCATAGGTAACCAATTGTTGTTATCATTGTTGTTATTATTGTTACTGGGTTCAGTGTACTGGTTCTGCTTACTTTTGTTCGCATCATTTCATATAGTCTTCCTAGGGTAGTCTGAAACCATTCTGCTCATCATTTCTTAGAGCTTATTAATATTCCACATGAATCATATATCACAATTTGTTCAACCATTCCTCAATTAGTGGTCATCCCCTCAACTTATAGTTGTTCAACACCACTCCAAGAGGTACTACAAATATTTTTAACATATAGGTCCTTATTCTATTTTCCTTCATTTCTTTGGGGTACAGACCTAGCGTTAGTATTAATGCCATGATACTATAAAAATTGGGACACTTGTAGTATGTATTTCCTGTCTATCCTTTCTTGTTTGCAAATACTACTAGATTTTAATTTACCCTTCCTTTCATATTACATTTGTGTTCAAAGACATGAGGTCAGTGTCATACATGATGAATATAGGTCCACTTTAAAATTTTGACAATTCTACTATAATTGCTGATGATTTTCCTCATGAAAGCTTTATTTAAGAATATTTTGGGGATACAATGCTTAGTAGGGTATGCTGCAAAGCTTTCCAGAAACCTGCTCCATTTGTGTTGGTTTTGAGGTGATACTATTTATTTATTTCATGCTCTATTAGTCTCTATTGGTCAGGATATTACCCATCTACTTTGTTTCTGTGACATCTTTAAATGTTTCTATGGGGTCAGAATAATTAGATGGAAAATTGGTTGATAAAATTATGAGCCTTCCTCTAAGAAATAAACAGGGCACTGGATGTGCTATTTAACTGAGGACTATATGATGACACTGCAACAGAGAAGAGGACAGAAATAACACAGCTTGTGCCTCTGTTCTTTTTTTTTCTTTTAACGACTTTCAGTCCATAGCAGTAAATTTCCAAGGGGAGTTACTTTCCAGAAAAAAAAAATCATACACACACACACACACACATACATACACATGCATATACACACACATACATGCATACATATACATACATATATATGCACACATATACGTACGTGTATGTATATATGTAAGTATGTACACAAAAAGCAAAACAAAAAGTAGGAGAAAGACAAAATGTTAGGAACTGGCCACTAGGTAATTCTTACAGAAAATGGATCTGAAGCTAATGTCACCAAGCCAGCAGGACAGACATTCTCATAGCTCTTGGCTTCCCTCTGCTCTCACATTGCATTCACAAATATGCCATACGACTATGGTCCCTTTGGCTGCTACAAATTTAGAAACTATATTTAAGAGCTAAGTCCTTTGAAAATTCCTTGGCAGGGATGAGTGAGAGTGAGGAGATGTTCTTACTTCCAGGGTAAGTTGAAGACATGCCATAACATTTGGTTCCACTCCTGGATTCTTCCATTTGAAGCTCCTATTTTCTAGGCCAGAGCATTCACAAGACCCATAAGCCTGGAACAAATTTAGCTTCCTCAGTTTTGGAGTTAAACCCATACAATTTCCTCTACCTGTGTCAATGAGTTAAGGAAACTGAATCAAGGTAGTCCTGAGGACCAAGAAGACAAGATGTCTACCTGAGAGTCTACCTGGCAAGGCACATACAGGACATTACTACAAAGCACTTGAGACAGATATAGAAATACTTAAATAATTGGATTAAATAGAAATTGCTCATGCATAGGCCAAGCCAATACAATAAAATAATAATAATATCTAAATTAATTCACTTATTCTGTGACATTATTTAACTCTATAAGGCAATTCTTTGGTAGCTTGATTAATATGCCAATAATACATAAATGACAACACTATGAGAGTCAGTTTACAGATCTAATACTTTACTGAACATTGAAACGTACTGTAAAGAAGCTCATGATAATTGAATTCATTTGAAGAAATGTCGGATCTAGAATATCAAGGGAAATAATGGATCAAAAATGGATACAAAGCTCAAACTAAGTTATAAACAACAGCCATCAGGATGCACAAGAAACGCCTCATCAAAACTGCTTGGTACTGGCTAAGAAATAGGGAGGTGGATCAGTGGAATAGGTTAAATATGCAAGACACAGTAGTCAATGACTATAGTAATCTGTTATTTGATAAACGCAAAGACCCCAGCTTCTGGGATAAGAACCCACTCTTTGAAAAAACTGCTGGGAAAACTGGAAAAGAATATGGCAGAAACTAGGCATAGACCCAAATCTCACACCATATACCAAAATAAAGTCAAAATGGGTTCAGGACTTAGATATAAAGGCTGATACCATAAGTAAACTGGGAGAACAAGGAATAGTTTACCTATGAGATCTATGGAGAACAGAAGAATTCATGACCAAATAGGAGATAGAGAACATTATGAAAAGCAAAATGGATAATTTTGATTACATTAAATTGAAAAGTTTTTGCACAAACAAAGCCAATGCAACTAAGATTAGAAGGAAGGTAGAAAATTGGGAAAGAATTTTTACAACCAGTCTTTCTGATAAAGGTCTCTTTTCTAAAATATATAGAGAATTAAGACAAATTTATAAGAACACAAGCCATTCCCCAATTGATAAATGGTCAAAGGATATGAACAGGCAGTTCTCA